GAAAAAGATTTGTCATTTGTGCACGGAATCTCTGGATGATTAAAAATATTTTAAGAAACTAGCAGCTTTAAGTTGTATTTATGGTTTAATTCTGGGAAGGACAAATGGAAGGACGTAATTGTAAATATAGACAGCCAGTCAAAGATGAAGAAAATAGCCATTCAAATAAAGAGAAATTCGTAAAATAAGCTCTATACTTTATAGTTTCAGGACCTAGGTCCTTAATTTCTGGTGCTTAAGAGCCAAAAACTGATAAATGAATGACTCAGACCAACACTTCCCATGCTTAAAGTGACCATTACAACCTTACAACCATCTCCTTCAGACTTATCCTCTTCCCACATTAAGTAAAGGAAATCAAACTATAGAGAAACTACAGTGCTTTCGAGTCCGCTCACAGTAAAAATCAAAAGTTGAGTGAGTGGGAAATCAAGTTTAAGTAGAATACTTACCAGCGGACCTAGCAATTATGCTGTGGGTACGGATGGCCATATCGTAGAGGTAAAGAAAAATCATTTGTATTAGTGTTTATTAAACACAAAAAAAATTAAAAAGAAGGTAAATAAATCACATATTCAACTGAACCAAAAAAAAAAAAAAATGAATTGAATGTAAGGAAAGTAGAAGAAAGAAGATAATATAGATAAAAGCAGAAATTAATGAATTAAAAGAGCAGTAAATACTGGTTAATCTGGAATGGACTTTGAAAAGACCAATAAGATCTGTGAATAGTTTCTTGAAAAGATCTCTGTTACTGAGAAGAAAGGACAGAATAACCTACAAAGAATTTTTAAAAAATTTCACATCTATAAAAAGATTCAGTAGACCATTTATAAGGAAATATTTCATTTTAGTGGTAATAAAGTTGAACATTTTGTTTAAAAAAAGTGGTTTTCTACTACATAACCAAACTATACATACAGACTTTTTGTACAAAAACTCTGGCAGGAATTTGAAAATTTGTCAAAATACAGCTGCTTCTAATGTCCACCTTATGTCCAACCAAAGGCACATCACTTAATTACATGTAAGTGTTTCACACATCAAGGAATAGTTACTTCTTTGTTGTTGTTGTTGTTGTTGTTGTTGTTGTTGTTGTTGTTTTGAGACGGAGTCTGGCTCTGTCGCCCAGGCTGGAGTGCAGTGGCCGGATCTCAGCTCACTGCAAGCTCCGCCTCCCGGGTTCACGCCATTCTCCTGCCTCAGCCTTCCGAGTAGCTGGGACTACAGGCGCCTGCCACCTCGCCCGGCTAGTTTTTTTGTATTTTTTAGTAGAGACGGGGTTTCACCGTGTTAGCCAGGATGGTCCCGATTTCCTGACCTCGTGATCCGCCCGTCTCGGCCTCCCAAAGTGCTGGGATTACAGGCTTGAGCCACCGCGCCTGGCCAATAGTTACTTCTTATACCAATTTCAAGGATGAAAAAAAAATGGAAAACTACAATTATTATCATGAGGTGGCACACCATAAAAACAAAATGAATTTCTCTCAGACTTGAGTATACATGGAAAATCAACTTTCCATAATTAAAGAATGCCACAGCAGTATCATATCAGGTGACTAATATCCACGGTAAAATGGGGTTTATCCTGTAAGTATGAGGATCTTTCAATGTGAAGACATCTACTAATATGCTACCTCATCAATATATCAAAGAGGAAACACCATCTATTCATCTAAAAATCTTCCAAAAGGCATCTGGTAGAGTTCAACATACATTTGGAATAAAACTTTCAAAATATATACAAATTGAATGACATTTATTTGGTATGATAAATTCTATGTTCTGATAAAATAAGCCACCAACATTATGCCTAATGATAATTCACTAGAGATATTCTCATTAAAGCTAGGGAAAGGAATTCCAACTATTCCCATCATTGTGTAATGTTGTTTTCAAATGCTAACAAATACAACATAATAAAAAATTATATCTGTAAACATCTAATATAGATAATATATGTAATTAAGTATATATAATGAAAAACAATTATCATCATTTGCAGATAATATAACTGTCTGGCTGGAAAACTGAAAATAATTAACTTAAAAAAGTGAACTACTGGAATTGATAAGAGAAGCTCTAAAATTACCAGTTACACAGTTAACATAATGAAATAAACACTTTTGCTTATAGATAACCATATCAGTTAGATTCTAACATTAAAAAATATCCCATTTACTGTAAGACTAATATTATAAAATGTCTAGAAATTCTTGTATCAATAAGCATTTACAAAATTACAAAGTATTTTTCTGACACTTAAAAGTACTTGAATAGACAGTGAAACATGGAATGCTCTAATCCAAAAATTAATTGTTAAACAAAAGTCAATTATTCACAAGTTAATATATAAAGACAATGCAATTCTAATTAAAACCCCAACATAAATTATCTGGAGATGGGCTATTTGACAAAACATTCCAAATTTCACCAAAGACACTTATTCTTAGAATAGATAGAATTTTTAAGTGAAAAAATTGAGGACTATAAAAGCTCAATTTCTTTAGTTCTAAAAACTGAAAATGACAATTATTTAATATATATGTATAAACTTGTGGACATATATGTGCTATTCATTGGCTTATATAATTATGTGCTTATATCTGTGTATGTATACATGTATTATATATATTTACTGGCAGGAATAAACCTTGGTATGATTTTTCTGGGAGACATCTCATGTATCCATTGGTGCAGCATTTCCCTCTCCAGGAATTTGCCCTAAGGAAATAATCACGAACATTTACAATGCAATAGCTAAAACTATGTTCATCCTGGTGTAGTTTATAGCAAGTCAAAATTAGAAAGAAAAAAATCTAAGTCTTCAAAGAAGGGTATTTTATAAAATCAGGATACATTCATAAAGAAAATATCAGGCAAACATTAAAACCATTATATAAGAATAATGAATAGGATATTCTCATAAGGAATATGAAAAGTAGCTTATGAGTGAAGAGGCTAAGGAAAGACTGATTTTTACGAGTATCCTTTTTCCAACTGACTTACAAGCACCCTAATCCTAAGCAAACCACATGATTTTAAGAAATGTTACTACATCTAACAAGGGCTTTAAATGACCTCTTTTATAGTCCATTGTAGCTTCCTCACAGGAAGTTCTGATCTCACTCTCAGCCAAGTCCTTGTATTTTACTGTGCTGTGGCTGCATTTATTTGCCTTCTAAATGTATCAGGATAATGAGGATTTGAGCTGATAAGCAATAACCAGGATGTGATGGGGATAACGATTTGAGAAAGCTAGGGAAAGTAGACATCAAAACAAATTGACCAAATGTATAACACTTGGAATGGATAAAAGGCTGAAGACTTTCAAGTTTCTGACAAGCATTACACCACAGGGTCACAGCCCTGAGCTTCTACCATCCCCTTCTCCAGCCTCCCTTAACAACGCAAAAGCAGCCCTCACCCTGCCTGCTTTAAACCCTGCACTAACTAAGCCACCAGATATATCCAGCAACTGAGACAGGAGCTGCTGTCTGGTGGGCAGGTGAGCTGGGACAAAGCAGGGATGTCATTACGTAGTTGGGGTCCCAATTTGGGATTTTGAATCCATTTGTACAGAAATTATTTTTTTACCTCTATTTATTTTTTGAGAACAACTGGTAAATATTTCTGTTATATGATATATGTGCTAAGTGAGATTTTTAGACTTCATTACTGTGCATGTGCAAACCCCGCAGCTTTGGAGAAAAATTCAGAGTTCTAAGTATTGACTGGTTTACCTATGGCAAATTGGGGGTTAATTCATTTGCAGTATTTTAAAACATGAAAGCATAATATTTAAATCTGGGGGCAGCATAGTAAGACCAAAATGCTGTTACATTCAGAGAGTAAAATTCAGAGCCAATTATACATACATATATAATTTTCATTTTACATTTTTAGAACTAAGGAAATTGAACTTTTGTAGATCTCAGTTTTTCACTTGAGAAAAAGTTCTGTCTATTCTAACAACTAGTGTTTTGGGTGAAATTTACAATTTCTGTCAAAGAGCTGATCTTCAAATAAATCATTTTAGGGTTTTAATTGGAGTTTCTTTGCCTTTATATATTAACATGAATAATTGACATAATAATATAGAAAGTAATTCATCGAGATGAAACTTACACCTTAAAAGTGTACCTTAATGTTGACTCAATCATATTATTCTAAGTAAAGGGAAATCTAAGATTCCTTAAAAGGTTGATAAACAAAAGTGTTTTCTTCAAAAAACAAGCAAACAAACGAAAACTTAGAAGTCCAATAACTGAGGATTACTTACGTAAACCATGTAATAGTCTATATTGAAGTATCATGCAGCAGTCACAAATATTTGAGTGTATATATTATTGGGGGATTTATGCTACAGCACTCCACATAATATGCAAAATTATACATATTTTATAATATCAACTTTAGAAAAATATTTCTGGGAAACATAATCGCAAGAATTTTAATAAAATTTTTTTATCATTGTGGGTGGGGTGTCAAATCTCAACTCCCCCACTGATAACTTGATAATCTGTACTTAAAGCTGAACTTATCATCTGGCAAAGAGTTAGTGCTCAATAAAACCTGCTGGGTGCTGTCATGCCAGGCACTGGACACACACCCTTTAGTCCTCTTTGGCATCTTACAATATAAGCACTCTTAGTACCTCCATTTTGCAAAGGACATTGTGAGTCCTGAAAGGGCTAAGTAATTTTCCTGGAGACTCATCAATATTGAGGGACAGAGCTGGGGCTAAACCTGGGTCAGTTCATATCTAACTCCCAGTGCCTCTTACCCCATATGGTGCTCCAAAGTAAAGGAATGTTTGCATTTATAGGTGGCTTTTATTTTTATTGTTGATACTTTTGTGTGCTTTCCAAATTTTCTAAAACAGGTACCTATTGCTTCTAAAATCAGAAGAAAATCTTTACTTTTGTGTTTGTTTAAGAAAGACCATTAAGGAAGTAACATAAAAGGCAGGTTAAGGGTGGAGAAGAAAAATTATGTCGATAAGTGTAAGCTCTCAGCTTCTCTCAAAATTTAGCTTTGGAGAGCAATGCATTTCTAAATGTTTCAGAGATGCATACAGTTTTAAAATTTTCCTATCTAATTTCTGTAAGAGTGATAATTTAAATTAGTATGTGATTGTGATACATTTTGACTTGAAAATATGGCCATTAGGCAATGGTCTGGTTAGAGTTATATCTTTAAAATGTCCCATCCATTTGCTTTGATTAAGTCTGCATAAAGGTTTGCACGTTCTGTTTTATTTGCTTTATTTGGACGCCTAGTGCGTCTTTTGTGGTCTTGGACTTGGCCCCAACTGAGGAGGAAGAGCAGCTGGATGGGGACGGAAAGTCAGAGCCTTGGATGCTCCTCCCAGCCGCCCACTTAACCTCTCGATGCCTCATTATTTCCCTCTAGAAAATACTTTCACTATTTGTCCTTGAATTAAGCAGTGAAGAAGACAACTTTCAACATTTAAAGTAAGTGCAAACAATTACTTCTCTGGGTCCTCATTGATTTTTCCATTTATCTGCTTCACCTCTCCTCTCTTTCCTTTCTGTTTTCCTCTCTCTCTCTCTCTTTCCTTTTCTTTCCCTTTAATTCTGGCCCCAAAGTATGGACTTGGCCAGAGGAAATGCTCAGAATGAAGGATTGCATCTTCCGACCAGAAGCAGGTGTGAGGATGGATATGATATCTCTACAGAAGGTCTATTTTCTTTCTCTCCATTGTTCATGTTTACAGAGCCCTCCGTTCATAACGCAAATGTTACCTTTGATGTGTTATTCTATTAGTTCTCATGCTTAAGGGATGCTAATAAATCAAAGACATTTGTGTGTTCATTAATGCACTCCTGCACTTTCCAAAGTATCCTCTCAATGGTCTTGAAAAGCTCAAGCTCACTCTTCAGGGTGTTGTAAACATGCTTTGTCCCAGCCTCATGCCAGGCCTTACCCTCCCAGATGCTGGACCCTGTTAAGAGCAGTGGTCCTGCCTATTACATGACTCCGAGGCTCCTTTTGTAATCACCACAAACTGGATGGAAGAGCCACAGGGCTACCATCAGCCCTGCAGAGACAGTGGAGCAGAGGAATCTCATTAATTAAGGCCTGCAAGAGACCCAGGTTGCAAGTGAGGCACCTTGAGAGTCATCCAAGGATCTCTGGGCTGGAAAAATGGAAATACACTAACATTAATTAGCCTGCTGCACCAGAAGAGAATAATTTAAATGGAAAAGATAATCTCACTGCCCTTTTGATGTGAAAAAGTTGTCCTAGATTGTAACTTTGATTTCCACGTCAGCAGCCTGTGTGCTCATACATTAACAGCAGCCTGGAAGTTTGAAAAAGCAGGGGTGGGCATCGATTTTGAACAGTGGCCCTGTCACTCGCTGTGTGATCTTAGACAACAGACTGCTCCTCCCTAATTCTCTGTTTATAGTTTTATTCACTTTAGAGTGGTGAAAGAACACTTAATTTAATGAGACTCTGTGAGAATTAAGTACGTTGATACTCTTTATGACGTGAGAAAAGCTGCAGACGCAGAATATCCTGCAGAAATAAATAGCTGGTTATTTGTTGCGTATGTGCCAGGCAAATGTGCACATATAATTTTTTTTTTTTAACCAAGTCTTTTTCATCTTGGTATTGCCATTGAGTCAACTCTGCTGGGTGTTATTAAAAGACTCCCCAACACAATAGCAAGGGATGGTCAACAAAGGAAAGCACACATGGCAGCGAAAGCTATTGAGAAATGTACATTCACCCTCCCACACCCTTGACCTCTAGAATCAGATCAGTAACTTCTCCCCTCTTCATTTCCCCTTCCTGTGTCCACAGTGAAGGGAAGTTGGTTGCAACCTTTTGCAGATAATGTGACACAGGGTACACAAGAGCGGAAGGGAGAAAAGCATTTCAACAAAAGCCTGGAACTTCAGTTTAGGTAAATTCAGGAAGGCGTGAGATAGGAAATGGCAGCAACCTTGCCAGGAACTAAAGGAAAAGGATTCTGGCATCAGCCCCAGAGCAAAATGTTAGGTCATCTATAATAAGGGCTGGGTGAAAAACCTTCAACTCAAAATGAAAGATACAATGACACAAAGAAACTTATCAAGGCAACCTTTGAAAGCAGTTAAGAAACCAATTCTTCTTTTTTAAAGAAAGTCTGCAGACAAAAGACATTCCCTGATCAGCTTGTATCAAATTCCATGTAGAATAAACTTTCTTCACAATCTCAAGAGCCAAGTTTCTGTGCCAATTTTTTTTTCCTATTTATGAGGAAAAGGAGAGGAAACAGAAACTTAAAAATGAAACAGTAGATTAAACTCACCTTTCCCCAATTAGGTAGCTTTAATAAGTGGTTTATATTTTTTATCAAATTTCATTCCATTTAACTTTTCATAATAACTATAAATGACACTGACGAAATACAGTTGGTATTGACAAGAGAATTGGTTCATGTATAAAATGAGAAAAGAAAAATGTTCCATTCCACTTTAAAACTGGAAGATGAAAGAGCACATTCCAGGGAGAAGGAAGGTATTTTTTCTCAGGAGTTAACATTTAGTTCTCCTGGCACTAGAAATGCTGAACTTCTGAGAAAGATGTTAACAACAAGATCAGAGCTGTATCATGGGGGGAAAGGATAGGCTAATTTCAGAGATCCTGCAATTGAAAAGATTGTTTCTTTGGGCTTCAGTGAATTAAATATTTGTCCCCCAAAATTAATATGTTGAAATCCCAATACACTTCTACAAATGTGACGGCATTACGAGGTGGGGAATTTGGGAGTTAAGTCATGATGGCAGAGTGCTCATGAATGCTATTAGTGTTCTTATACAAGGGACCCCAGAGAGGGCTGTCTCTCTCCACCATGTGAAGATATAAATCAGCAATCTGTAACCTAGAAGAGGGTCCTCACCAGAACCTGATCATGCTGGCTCCCTGGTCTTGGACTTCTAGCCTGAGAATTGTGAGAAATAAATGTCTATTGTTTCTAAGCCTCCAAGTCTAAGCTGGAAGCTATAACAGCCTGAGCTAAGGTACCTGCTTCTAAAGTCTGACTCACCATTCTGTATTAAGTTTCAGACTGTTTTCCAACCACTCATTTCCAAATGGACCATTCATTTTGCACAAATGTTATCCAGACCTGAATGCCTGAGAAGGAACCCCTTCTTGATATAGGTAATGTTCTGGTTTCCACTCTAACACTTTAAATGACAGCATTTTAGTAACTCCAACTCTTCTTGTCAAGGGGTCAAAAAGTAAGATGCCAGTAATTCAGAGTGGGAAGGTTCTTAGTTTAACATGTTAGAAAGGAGAAGAAAAAGATCTTTGTCTTTAATAATATTCACAGTTAAATGGTAAAGTAAGTGAAAAAGTTCTGTACTTGGTAGCAGTGAATAACTGTCTTCCACCGGGGTTGATAGGCAGGATCATAAACCATCAGAGAAAATGCTAACTGCCCTGGAACACAGCACATTCTTGGGTGAAAAGTCACTTGCATGCCTGTCGGAGCCATCACTATGGATTGCCGGCCATTCTGAATTGGAGTTTGAGGCTGACATCTGAAACCACAGGTTGTCTTGTTCATTGTTTCTTCATGTTTTTCTAGGGGTTATTTAAGCCTCTCAAATGTGAATTTCACACATGTTGCTTGGGCTGCACCCATCCATCATCTCATGATTTGACACAAAACCCATTTTTTAAATGTTTTATTTATATAGAACATCAGCTATCACCTACCCATATATCCAGTCATGACCTGCACTGTTTATAATTTAGGTTTCATGTTAAAACTTCCAGCTAGATGCTGTTATCTTCAGTTTAAGGGTAATACCAATTTTGACTCAGGAGAATTTAAGAAACTTGTTCAACTTCGTTTCACCAATAAGTGACATCTGAAATTTGAGCCTATGTGTTTCTATTTCCCAAGTCTGTATTCTTCATCCTTTCCACTATATAGCCTTGCAGCTTACAAACTTCCCTTCAATCATAAATGTCTATTCTCTTAAAGCAGTGGTTTTCTATTATATAGGATAGCAATATCTGAATAGTCAAAGATGTGTTCTCATAATTTGATTCCAAATTTGTTCCAAGAAGAATCCACACGCCTCTTGTCTGTCCCTTCAGGTCCAGAGGAAGCAATGTATCCACTGTTCAGTACCACCCCTCACCCATCACCATCACTGCCAATACCTACCCTAAGGTTCTCTTTCCTGTTGAGCCACTTGATTTATGTTTAACACTATACTAATTACTAAAGCAGTTGATGAGTCCCACCTTGTAAAGTGTTAAAGTCTAAAGATTAAAAAGAAAAGAGGGCGGACATGGTGCATCATTTGAGGTGAGGAGTTTGAGACCAGCTTGACAAACATGGTGAAGCCCTGTCCCTACTAAAAATACAAAAATTAGATGGGCATGGTGGCGGGTGCCTGTAATCCCAGCGACTTTGGAGACTGAGGCAGGAGAATCGCTTGAACCCAGAGGCGGAGTTTGCAGTTTAAATTCTCCTGAGATGGCAACACTGCACTGTAGCCTCTGTCTCAAAAACAACAACAACAACAACAACAACAAAAGAGTACTTCATATGTGAAGTTTGGCTTTTTCTTTTTGTCACTGTAAACATTGTCAATAGAAAATTTTAAAAGAAAAATAAGAGTTCCAAAAAGTTCAAGATATATGTGACTTGATTATTTAGTCATTTAATGAGAGGTTTGGTCTTAGTTGTTGAAAATCTATGTGGAGTTCTCTCTATTTGTAGTCTAACCTTTCTATATATACATAGGACTTTTTGGGGGGAAAGAAATCAAATAATTATATATTTATATATTTTAACTTCATTTAGGTGCCCCAATCTTAAGCAGATGAAATATAGATTTCCTGCTTTTCCCCAACCCCTGACTTCACTTTAAATTCTTCTCAGCTGATGTGGTTTAAAGCTAAGTATGTTTTCTTTCTTTTATAGCTTAACGTTACACAAGAATTTCTCTGGTTCTTCCAACTTAATGCCACACATGGCATTCTGTCCTTATCAAAAATCAGATCATTTCTCTTAAAGAGAAAAAAACTGGCATCAAGGCAAACCCTGGAGATGAAAGCAAGGGTTAAGTTTACTTCCAATATTAGGGAATGATCCGGAAATAAATGTCGAGGTTAAAAAGTCCAGATGGCAATTCAACTGTATCCTCACTATAAACATGATTTGATTTATGGGAACTACTAATGGTATCTCCGTTTAGATCTGGACAGCTTTGCTTTCTCTCATCTGAGTTTTAAATTCATCAGATTCTTTTACTCCCACTATCAATCCTTCACTACAAAGAGACACTCCTCATCCAGAATTTGGGAGTATCTTAAAATGCAGAAATTGATAAATGTTAACAACCTTAATCCATGCAAATTACTGTCTGTTGTCATTATTTATAACCTGGCGTATGTGCTTATTCAAAAGATCCTCAAAAGGCTTTGACAATTCATGCTT